ATCAGCGAAAAGAACGTCGGCGACGACTTCAACCCGCCGCCCCTCGCGCCCCCGATCCTGCGCCACGGCGACCTCCTCATCAGCCAGACCCCCAACATACTGTTCTACCTGGCCCCGCGCCTGGGGCTCGTCCCTTCCGCCGACGAGGACGAGGACGCGCTGTACCGGGTCAACGGCCTCGCGCTGACGGCCCTCGACGGCCTGAGCGACGAGGTGCACGACTGCCACCACCCCATCGGCGCCGGGCTCTACTACGAGGACCAGAAGGACGAGAGCAAGAGGCGGAGCGCCGACTTCCGCGAGAACCGGCTCCCCAAGTTCATGGGGTACTTCGAGAGGGTGCTGCAGAGCAAGAGCAGCGGCGAGGGCCCGTGGCTGTACGGGAACAGTCTGACGTATGCCGATCTGGTGCTATTCCAGGTATGATTTTCAAAGCACTCCTCCCGTTTAGAAAACAAATCCTACTCGCTCTGTGCAGTCAGAAGACAAGATACACGCACGTATATATATATAGCGTTAGGCTAGAGAAAAGGGGGAAGTAATGGGCAACGATGACGCCAATTGTGACTGACTCTCTCTCTCTCTCCAGTGTATCGATGGATGCAAATTCGCTTTTCCCAAAGCCATGAGCATTGCCGAGAAGTCGAGCCACTACGTGCACGTGTTCGAGCTCTACGAAGCGGTCAAGGAGCGGCCGAGGATCAAGGCTTACCTCGAGAGCGACAGGCGCCAGAAGTACTCGATGGGTATCTATAGATACTACCCCGAACTCGACACCCAGGAGACGTTGGATGCTGAAGCTCCGACGGTGAGGTGATTGGGTATAGTCTAGTTACACTTTACCATTCATCCGACGACGGCTATGCGTTGGCGTTGGTCCGGGTCGACCCCCCCCTGGAATAATAGTGTTCGCGGGTCGAATAAGCGGTACACCCGACTCTTATTCGATGGAGGAACTCTCGCATAATACGATAATCTGTCTTGATGATGCGGGCTACCGTACATTATTTCAGGGGTCGGTATGTACAGTAGCCAGTGATGTGGATGCGCGTCGGAACGACGAGGTTGCCCTGCGACGAGGCTGCGATGAGCGACTGATAGCTTATGCATACTGTAGGATGACAGATCAGAATCAAAAAAAGCACGATATCATTAATTATTCCGAACCAAGCTTTAAAGTATCGTGTAAGCGTCAATGTGGATAGACCTGGAGGTGTGTCCTACTAATGCAGGACGTGACCTTGAGAATGTTGTCATTCCCCATGATACTTCAGAATGCCAGTTTTATCTTGAGAGTTCTAGGTCACTTGTACTCATTTATGACAAGACTTGTCAATCCCGTCTCGTCCCTTCTCATCAAAAGCGTGTGCGAATGGTATGGTCTGATTCCCTGGCTGTCTTCAATCAATCTATATATCTCCTCGCTAGCCCCTATCTACCCCCCTGACCCCTTAATCCAAGTAAACGACTGGCGGGGTACTCAGTCTGCTCTTATCCAGATAGAAAACCAGCCTTTCCCCGGGGGAAACCGCACGTTTAGGGGTGACAGAAAATGGACGTTTAGGTATCCCCCCCCTCCTCTGACCTTTCCGGCAAAATATAATATTCAGGGGCGAGATAGCATCATTGAGAACCACATTACCGTCCTCAGATGACACGTCCTTGATGCACATGATACTTCTCTGTCATCGGAGCTCTTGGATGATAAACCCACGCACTCTCTGAAGATTTATGAGCTCGATATTGAAGAAGCAAGAGGGATGGAAGCTCTCCTCCTAGATATATTGAAATCGGGTTCAGGCTTCGTCTCATCAATATCCCTGTGAAGTGAGGACAAACATTCCTGTCACTGCGGCGGCTGCCTGGCGTATCATCCGGCTCGTTAGGTTACATTATGAGTCGACGAAGGGGGCCTGATCATCATCATCCGCCGAATGGACCGAAGCAGAATTATATGTCAGTTGTAGGTAGCACGACATGAAGCCTACCTGCCTTGCTTGTCCTATTGACGGATTACCCCTCAGAGAAGAGACGGCCCGCAGCCGGCAAATCCCAGACCATCACGACCCTTAGGTAAGGTGTGTTGCACAATGAAATGATAGGACGAAATTTGCCTGATGGTGGTTGTGTATCGTCATAATCTTGGTTGAAGAAATTCTCCATGTTCCCCTCAGTCACCTGCGGCTGGGGTGTGCAAAGTGCGATGCCTCGAGGCAATATCGTATCGCAACCAAGATACCGAGAATTCTATGAGAAAGCCTCGTTCTGATGAAGCAGGCCGACGATGGCGACTGATGAGACAGACTTCCGGCTCCCAGTAGACCGTCCACGACAACAATACGTGCAGCTATCGGCTCTCAATGGCGGTTACCTGACTCTACCAGAACACTGCTTCGTGTCCGATCCCGAGCCGGGGAGGGGACACACCGTTCCCTCGATGTGTTTCCTGATTGTTCACGAGACAGCATCGGGACAACGTCAACGCCTGGTATTCGACCTAGGCATGAAACGGGATATCACCCAGTACGCAGATACCATGCAGGCTCACATCAAGACCAGACAGCCGACCATCCATCTACCTGACACGGCAGCCAGTCTCCGTGACGGTGGGTTGGATCCAGCTAGGGATATAGACGCCGTGATTCTCAGTCATTCGCATTGGGACCATATCGGCACGCCAGACGACTTCACATCTGCCCAGATCATCGTGGGATCCGGAACATTATCGATGTTTGAAAAGGGGGTGAAATACAATCCAGCTTCCATGTTCGAGGATAATCCCCTCCCCGTGGCCCGCACCTACGAGCTTCCTCCTACACAGGATACCAATGAACCCGAGAGGGCAGCCCAGCAGCAGCACAAGGGCAAATGGGAGCCTCTGGCAAACCTTCCCAACGCGATGGACTACTTTGACGACGGAAGCGTGTACATCATCGACAGTCCGGGTCATCTGTTGGGCCACCTCAACCTCCTCTGCCGCATCGGCCCCGGCAGGTGGGCTTACCTGGGCGGTGACTGCTGTCACGACTCTCGGATCATGACCGGAGAGAAAGACATCGGGCTCTTCGACGACGGAGAGGGCGGGCTTCGGAGTGTGCACATGGATCTCCCGACGGCGAGGGAGACGATCCAGCGTATACGGGACTTGGAGAAGGCGAATCCAGGCATGGAGCGGATCGTGGCTCACGATCTGGTGTGGGCAGCTGCTAATCCACATCGTTTCTTCCCGGGGAAGCTGTGATTGATAGATACCACCGGGGGAGGAGGAGCTAGAGGCTGAGGGGGGAAAGCTGGTCAGGAATAAAGTAACGAGTAATGACGGGGTAGATAATTCAGGGGTTGTTGGCTCGATACTGTGGCGTCTACCTAGGTACTCCGAGTGGATTATCTTTGCGACTCTACAAACACGGTGTTTCCCTCCCGTGCACCACCGCAGCCCTCAATATCCTCATTCTTCTGTAGGGGGCTCGGGTTTTCGATATTTCTCTTCAATCTTGTACTCTTGAATAGCCTTATCCGTCACCCGCATAGCCTCGATTCCGATCGGGGCCCCGAGATAAACCATGTTTTGCAAGATGGCTTCTCTAATCTCAACTACGGTCAATCCGTTTCTCAGTGCCCCTTTCGTGTGCAGCGCCAGCTCGGGCCAGCTCTTCAGGGCGCTCAGCAGGCCTAGATCTGCGTACCGGTTATTGAAAATCGCTAGGTAGGTAGGTGCATATCTACATACTCAAGAGACTGCGCTGCTTGCGATCCAAGCCTGGGCGAGTCCAGACCGTACCCCAACAGTACTCAGTCAAGAGCTCCTGCGCAGGCTTCCAGTACTCATCCTTATGGAGCTATACTGCCGTCCGAGCACTTCGCCGCGGACCTCGATGCCCTTCTTGAAAGTCTCGCTCTGGTTTTTTCCGTCTTGGTCCGCCATGGTCAAGTAAGGACTCTCGATGATGATGATTCAGATTGTCGATTAAGTCGCGGTTTAACTCCTAGGGAATGGGTGGTCGGTCTATCGCACACTTTAATTTGGCTGCCGAAGGAGGATGCGGGGATGCCATGTCGTCGCATGACGTGTCGGATGCTGCGTCCCCCTCCCTCCTCCATCCAATCCACGGCATTGGACCAACCCCTTTACTCTCCAAATTCCGATAAATATTTCTGGGTAGTAGTGGCGAAATCGGAGGCACCACTTGACCTTGGTTTCAACTCAACCTGTTCGATAGTTTTGCGTTCGAGCTATCAAGTTGTTGGTGTCGTGCTCTCCCCCCTTTTCAAGAATCACAGCACTTCAGGGGTTGGTTCAAGATAATAATTTAGAGCCCGCTATAAACTCATCTGTATTGGTGATATGGTCTAGCATATGAACGGCAAGTAGCATGGGATTTTATCACTTCCAAGAAAGAATTGGTTCCTTGTTGGATCACCGTATGGGGTAGTTAGATGCTTGCCTCATTATGCTTTTATTCCAGACTCACATCTGTTAATCAGATACTTCATGTGCTTCCTGCGGTCAGAGGAAATATGTATAAAAAAAGATAGCTCGCGGCCGAGTACTTGCGATTTTTCTGTCTATAAGGTGACGGCAATGTTGACTACAGCTCAAGACACCACACCCAACCGAGCGTCTGCAGCCAGCTTTCTGATTAGGGGCAGTCGTCAAAAAGTCAAGCTAGGAAGAGAGGTATTACCATCACCTCACTCCCACGGGCAAAGAAAATGTTGGGGGTTTTTGCGAAAGCGGGCGCCAGGATCCTTGTAGTAGAGTGGTGAGCCTGCGCGCATTGTTTCCACGTCTCGTTTTCTAATAGTGAGCCCGGGGGCGGCTGATTCGATTTGACGTCGTTAAGGAACGGTGCCGTAAGATGATGGAATGAAATACCTATGCAGTCAAACATGGAGTTCTGCTTCGCCTGGAGGTGGCCAGCAAAAATTTACGTAACAAAAAAAAAGAACTTCGCTTCATGAGAAATGAAGTGATCATGAAGCGAAGACATAATCACATGAGGTCAATCTGGGAATCGAACCCAGGCCTTGAGAATCAGAATCTCACGTCCTAACCCCTAGACGAATCGACCGACATGGCGCCATTATGTGATAAACAGGGTTCTACCCTCACGGTCAACAGGCTCGTTTCTAGCAAACATCTTCGCCATCTTTCGCACCCAGTCGTCTATATGTATGGTGGCTTTCACGGACATTCCCGCACACCATATGCACTCTCGAAGAACCCTTTGGTATGGTTTTTTTTGGCGTCTTCCAGTCGTCCTCGAGTTGTCTTCGGAACACCTGGGCTACCAATTGTTCTCTTCAAAATATTTTGGATAGCTACAAAGAAGGCTGGCTGTCTCCGCTGGACCCATTCCCCGGACGCTACTTATTTACTCCACAAAGACCGATTCTTAGCCACCCCCTTTTTTCAACGAGAGATTGAATAAAGGAGCACGAATTCGTCTTCGATCAATGGTGAGATATACCTCATATCGATGATTCTACCAACCTTGGAAATCCAACCTCATCGTTTACACCGGAAAACAGACTGGGACAATTGCATAAGCCATTCTCATACAACGAGTTTGATAGTGTGCACTGTGTCTTTCCACTCGAAGAGTTTTCCATGGTCATGAGGCAGTGAGGATGCCGGATGTGCTGCAAGTATCAGGATGAATTTTCGGGATTTGCCATTTGGAGCTGTAGCCTGTCTCTTCTTCCCATAGCTACTACACAGCTGGGAATCGGAACGAACTGGGAGCTGCTTTCAGAGAGCCCTTGTTTAAAAAAAAACAACGTTCAATGCCTTGTTTCCTGCGCTTTGAGAAAAGCCTTGATATGGGCCTCTTTATTGCCCACACGGGCTCTTTTCATTTATCTAAGTACAATGCTATTAAGCAGTTCTCTACACCGTTTGAACAAAGCCTTCATTGATGAAACCCAACCGCTGGGTTCAATATAAGGGGCAATACGTATGGATGCTGAAATGCCATTTAGCAGTTTCCGAATCACTTTCACCGGCTTAACATACCGCTGCCGCTGCTCTCAACTCACGATCCAACGCGACGATACGATACAGACCAAGTTAAAACAATGGCACCACATAAGTTGAAGACCCCCATCGAACACGCCAGAGGTTCAGCCGGGTCACTTTACGATATTGTGATGATGACCGCCAAGGCGAAGATCGACGCATCCCCCGAACGAGTTGAGGAGTTTAAAATGCTGTACAAGAAACATTCCAGGAACCAAAGAGATCTAGACAGCTCCAGGCTGGTTCAGGAAGTCTGCGAACGCCTTTTCCATTTTTTCGATGCCCTGTTCTTCCTCAACCAGTTGAAGAAAAAGGTCTCCCTGACGGTCATCCGAGGTCGTAATAAGAAAGAAGGGAAGTACGGCTGTTATCACCCTTCCTCACACATGATAGAGATTTGGACCGAGGTTCAAGAGGGTGAGACCGTCATCTGGGACCTGTTCGTAGTGACCGTCGCGCACGAGATGTGCCATGCTTGGTTGGAGGAGTTCTCCAACGCCGATTCCGACGAGTATTCGCGGTGCGTGGAACCTGACGGCGGTCATGGCAGAACCTTCTGGCGTGTGCTGGAACCGATGTTGTTCATGGTGAATGAATGGGTTGGCTCCAAGATAATCCAGTTCGAGTACGAGCGAGCTCACAGGAAAGCTTGGTCATAAATCTTGGATTGCCGGCATCTGGTAAGTTCATAGAAGCAGCATTAACACATAGACTAGACTACGATAATGGAAACGGTGTTCTGATCGATTCCTCTTGCCTGAGAGTTCTTGGGCGAAAGGGCGCCTTGAGGAAACCTGTGCGGTTCTGGGCCAAAGAAACTCGTAGAAACTGCCTCGTTGCAACTTCAGAGTGTGTATGTAGTATGAGACTCGAGAGTACTGAATAATAGGCATTGACCATGAATCAGGAGCTGTGTTTGGTTGAATAATTACCAGAAAGGTTCTTTAGGTACGTGCCAACTTTCATCTACTACCTACCTAGGTAGGTAATATGACCAAGAGTTTACTTACAATCTGGGATAATCTGAGCCCGATACTACCTACGTCATTCTGAGATGCTGCCATGATAAAACTCCGACGAAACAGCGAGTCTGGATCATCTCTAGACCCATGCGTTACCTAGGTATGCAACGAAATCCGGCAGCGCGGTTCACTAGATAATTATGGACGGCTACGCTCTTCCGAGGCAGTCGATATTTTTAGCCACCCCCCTTCTCTCTTTGCCTTCACGCGATTACGCTTGGGCTGTTACTAAGGTGACCTGCATATGCAAGATCGAAGCATATCTCATTCTAGAACGCCATAGACTTGCCGAGTGCCAGTCACGTAAGCCACCAGCAGCTTTGGGTATTTGACTGGTAGAAACCTTGGAACGGCATCCTGAATGGTGTTCGTGCAGCTTCGGTTTACTTCTCGAGTAAACCACGATAGGTACATCAAGTACCGTACTTTGGCGCGGCGGGCGGCTGAATAATCCTGACTCTGCCATAGCACAGATTGGGTGTTCTGCATCCTTCCCCCACTGAGAAACGAGACATAACTACGAGATTTGAGATGCCGGGCTTCGGTTGTCATCCAAATCATGCTCAGAATCAAGCGGCGGCAGGTATATGATAATGAGAGCGTCAAGGCTCTAGTAGACAATGATCCTATCCCCTTGGCTGTACACACCTCCTGAGCTATCACTTCAGGACTTGAGACATTCATCATCACTCGTCGTCACACCCTCATAATACTACACCTACCATCAGTAGATCTTGCTCAGTCTAATAAATAAAACGACATCCTTCAAGGTATCTTTCTCATTACCTAGTGCCGGTGGTTCAATAGGCAACGTCATTCCCGAGACCTTTGAGAAGGATCCGAGCTTCAACTTGACCGTCTTGCAACGGGCTTGGTCAAAGTCTCGATTGTTCGGCCAACACCGTCAACATCGCGGACCCTTACCCGACTGGCGCACTGGTTGGCGTCTTTAAGGACCAGAATATCGTTGTGAACTGCATGACATCACTGTCGGTCGCAGAACAATTTCGTATGATAGACGCCGCCATAGATGCTGGAGTCCGACGATATGTCCCCAGCGAGTATGGTCTGAACAACAACATGAGACCCGATTCTCAAGCACTGAACTCCGTGTCCCATGATAAAGGAGAATCTCTGTGCCAAAGGGGCAGAAGGCGCCATGGAATGGATATCTAAGCATCTCGTGTGGGATGTGGCTCAAATGGAGTATATGGCCCATGAACTTCTTGGGCATGCATGTACCCGAGAAGAGATTCGTCTTTTGGGGATGACGGTAACGTCACGGGCTACTTCTCGTGTGCACGACGGAAGAAAACAACGGCCTTGGGGACTGGTCAACCAACGCGTTGAAAAGACGTCGGAGTTGACGAAAGAACACGAACATGCCGCTGAGGAGCGACTTCGCCGTCACGCAGAGGCAGCTCCGGGAAGCCATCGAGAGGATATAGAAGGAAAAAGATATACGACCGAGACAGACACTGGACAGCGAAGCCTGGATCAAGACGAAACAGGAGGCGGGGAGGTTCTTGGGGGGTTTACCTGGAGAAGGAAGCTGGCGAGGTTATGAACGGCAAACTCGGACCGTTGAGGCATACGGTAGTACCCTTGACGAAGTCGTCACCGACGCTTTGAAATCGGTGGATGCACTCACTGTACCTAGGAGTGACGATGGTATGGGTACGTACCTTTTTCTGTTCTGGTGATCTTCCAGGGTCAAACCCTGAAATAATGTACGCGGGTCACATCATTGATACATCAGCGTATTATGCGGGTGTTCGTTCTCCTTTGGAAATGGGATATTGATGTACCATTCATTCATTTGCTGCGCGCACATTACCTAGATACCTATGCCAATAGTTGTTGACGTGTCTCGCGTACCTATTCAGGGTCAGAGATCAAGTGGATGGATGTCAAGTTCCTATGTATAAAATGAACAGCCGAAGACACCGCCGGCCGTCACCTACTACTACTTAAAGTAGACTCCATCAAATCTTCCTCACCGTTGAGATAATGGAGACAGACCCTTTGCTAGTTTTCTCGGGAACCCAGTTACACCCCGACACCAAATGAGAATGCGGACGAGATTTGACCGCAACTGGCGGCGGGCTTGGGTCGGTCCCATATACCGGAAAGAATTCCCGATTGCTCGCGATAATGGAAGAGAGCGAGACCGCCAAGATGATGAGATCTATCTACCTAGGTAGGTAGGTAGATGGGATGATGTCCTCGAGTCATGTAGAAGCATGAAACCACGACCGAAGAGAAGAGAAAAAGAGTCGGAGGTAGGCAAATACTGATAGAGAGATACACGTGGCAAAGTATCAAAGTATCTACTTATTAGTGAGTGTTCTAGAAAAACGTGTTCGATGCGGCTCGATGCGGATCGGTTTCTTCTAATAAAAATAAAACATAACCAACCTAGGTAACATTCACGCAAGCTCAAGTTTTCTCGTCTCGACTTTCTCTCGAGAGATCTTTGAGTACCTACCTACCTAGGTACATATGTAGGATATGTAGATGTATTGGCGACTTACGATGTAGATAACGATACACCTACTGCGTGAACTAACAACTAGCCCCTGGCCAGCTTGTCAGAGACAGGACAGGACGGACGGCGGGCTTCAATGGGGCCTTTATTAATAATTAAAGAGCTTGGTGCTATTTCCGATCTCTTGTCAAAAAGCTTAAAGTATCTCGAGCTGGGCCAGCAGCGCAGAGCCGCTTTTGGTCCACAACAGGACCGACTGCGGTACTTTGCTCGGCCGCCCTAATTCCTCGTGAAATTTCTCGGACACTCTCTGTAAGTAGCGTGACATCACACATCGCATGTTGTTGATATTGTTGTTATGGTGTGCCTCCTCTCTCCGATCAGGAGTCTGTCTCTCCAGGTTTCTTTCCGCGATGAAGATATCCAAGCATCTCGCTACACCACGATGAAGACAAGAGAGAGAGGAAAGTACTGTAGTTGTTTCTATGTGAGGGTCAATGTACTGAATAGGTTCTCGGCAGTGGAAAGAAAAAAGAGATAGAA